GAGTCGCTGAAAGAAAGAATCGACATCTGTTAGAAACTGCAAGGGCTCTTCTATTCCAAATGAATGTGCCTAAACAGTTTTGGGCGGATGCCGTGTCTATCGCATGTTTTTTGATAAACCATATGCCGTCTTCTGTTTTAAATGGTAAAGCTCCTTATCACTGCCTATTTCTAAATTAAGAACTTTTTCCTATCCCACCTAAAACATTTGGTTGCACTTGCTTTGTTAGAGACGTTAATCCTCATCTTACAAAGTTAGACCCCAAATCATTAAAATGTATTTTCTTGGGTTATTCTCGAGTTCAGATGGAGTATAGATTTTTTTGTCCAAGTACAAGTCGATATCTTGTTTCCATTGATGCATCATTTCATGAAAATACACCTTTTTCATCGTCCAAGACAGATATTCATGGGGACAATGATGAAATACTCATTTACTCTGTCACTATACCGGAATCTACACCTTCTGTAGTTATTCCACATGTTACTGTTCCCGACCCTAGACCGCCAGTACACTTGGTTTACACCTGTGACCCCTATGATTACTTATCCTGATATTGGTCCGTCCTTGAGCTCATGTCCTGAACCAGTACATGCATCTTCAGATCTTGTCTCTACATCAGATCTTGACCTTCTGATAGCACTACGTAAAGGTACACGATCTTGTACTCACCCTATTTCTTCATTTGTGTCGTATAGTCAGTTACCCCCTACCTCATGTTCTTTTATTGCTTCCATCGATTCTATTTCTGTTCCTAAATCTGTTAAAGAAGCTTTGTCTCATCCTGAATGGCGTCATGCCATGGTAGAGGAAATGAATGCTTTGGATCTTAATGGTACTTGGGATTTGGTAGACTTGCCTACAGGGAAGAAGTCTATTGGATGTAAGTGGGTCTTCGTTGTTAAGGTTAATCCAGACGGATCTGTTGCTCGGTTGAAAGCCCGATTAGTTGCGAAGGGTTATGCTCAAACCTATGGTGTTGATTATTCTGACACTTTTTCTCCTGTTGCTAAATTAACATCTGTCAGGTTACTTATTTCTTTCGTTGCAACTCATGATTGGCATTTACATCAGTTGGACATTAAAAATGCATTCTTGCATGGTGACCTTCAGGGAGAAGTTTACATCGAGCAACCTCCGGGGTTTGTTGCTCAGGGGGAGTATGGTAAAGTTTGTCGACTTCGAAAATCTCTTTATGGTCTGAAACAGAGTCCTCGTGCATGGTTTGGGAAGTTCAATCGGTCAATTGAACAGTTTGGAATGATCAAAGGCAAATCAGATCACTCTCTCTTTTGAGAGAAGATACAAAAAGGATTAATCTCTACCGGATATGTGAAGACTGGAGAACAACTTGGAGATTTATTCACTAAAGCTCTAAATGGGATTCGAGTTGATTACTTATGTAACAAGTTAGGCATGATAAATATCTATGCTCCAACTTGAGGGGGAGTGTGAAAGTATTATTGTATCTAGGAATATGCTTTAGGAATATGCTCTAGAATATGCTTTAGGAATATACTCTAGACATTATTATTGTATAGCATCTTATATAGGAATATTCCATCTTTGAAATATATATATATATATATATATATATATATATATATATATATATGGCTTTAACCCTCTAATGAAAAACACAGAAAATCTTTCCTCCACTTTTCAATATTATTCTAGTTTATTAATATGCTTATTATTATGTATTAAATTATGAATGATAGCACTCTTTCCCTACAAGGACCTAATTTGATAGTGTTTCATTTTTTAGCCAATAATGACCGAATTTACTAGTCGTTGATAGGGATGACCCTTCAAGTCCGCGTTGACACTTCGATCCAGTCACTTGTTAGGGCCTCCTAGCTTGGTTTTGACAACATAGGGTTAAGGTATTCTATTCCTTGGTTGAAAATTAGACTAGGGTGGAGAAAGCAATGGTAGGACTTCTATCAGGAAAATTTTTACATATATTGGTCAACTGTCTTGTGTGTTCGTGATTGTAGGACTCGAAATATCAGAAAAGTTAAGTGTGTGAAGATATCGACCGAGGTTTGGAGAAGTTTAGGGGCGAGAGGCGTCGAATGGTTAACACGTTTCTTGAACAATATTTGGAGAAACAGCAAAATGCCAAAACTGGCGGAAAAGTAATCTTACAGTGATGTAGAAGAATGTCCCAACCATTGATCGATTAAGCTTATGAGTTACACATGAAACTTTGGGAGCGAGTGATTGAACAAAGGCTGTGAAAAGTGTACAGATTTGGAGAATCAATTCGATTTTATGCTTGTTCACTCAACAACTGAGCTCATTCACTTTCTTAGAGAACTTGTGGAGAAGTATACACACGAATTGACTTAGATAAGGCGTAACATAATACATTGGTGGGCCTTAACTAGAAAAGGCACATCACATAAGTACATCAACATCATCATGGATATGTGTGAGGACTGTACTATAAATGTTCGTACTGATGTAGGGAAGACTGCAATGTTTCATATTACTATCAGAGTGTGCTGGAAATAGCATTTAAGCACTGGCCTTTTATATCCCCGCATTTGCTTAACTCTTCATTTTCATTTATGGCTTTTAGTTTTCTTTTGTCCTTTAATGTACCATTCGGTTACCTATATATATGGGAGTCATGATGTCTGATCATCAGATAATAAAGACAAAAGGTTCTCTAGCTAAATTAACATGACATCAAACCCACGAGTATGGTCTGAAATTCCTGCAAGTGGAGGAAATTTTGAGCATATTTTCTCCCGAATCACTCTTGCTGGTGGCCGTCCCTGTCCAGCGAATTGCGGTGAATAATTTCTATACTTTAAAATTATCTTTTTTATCATCGTCTAAACAAGCAGTACAAGTGAAGCATTGTTATTACCAATAATAAGCTTATTGGATCACAAAATTATCAAGATTGGGCATGTGTCGTGGAACTGTGGCTATGGGACAAGGAGCGGATGATCATTTGATCACAGAAGCTGATCCAATCAAGTATCAAATAGAAGTCAGGAAACGTGTTGGTGCCCAACTTTGCAGCATCTTATGGCAATCCCTCTCACCGGAAATCGTTCCTAATGTTCTGCCATTTCAGGACATGTTTTCTATCTGGAAGCAAGTCAAACCTCTCTATACAAATGACACGTCTCAATTTTATTTAGTTGTTCATGAAATTTTAGAAGTAACAAAATCTAGGATGTCAATGGAAACATTCTTAAGAAAAGTTTAAGTCTCAATGACGGAATCCAATACCCTTATTCCAGTGCAAGAATACACTGAAAAACAACAAGCTCAAAGGGAAAAACTCTAGGTAGTCTTGGCACTCTCCAAACTAGGAGCAGGATTTGAAGAGGTTCAACGCCAGATCTTGAGCGAGAAAAATGTTTTAAACACCACTGAAGTTTTTACTCGACTACTTTGAGGGACCGACTCTGCTTTTGTTTCTCACTCTTGTGCTGGTTAAGGTAGAGGTAGAGACAATCTTCACAGAACTGACAGAAGAGGGGGGCTGTGGCAGAGGTATGCCACGTTTTTGTGATTATTGCCAGAAACAAGGACACACACGTGATCAATGCTGGAACTTACATGGAAAACCAAACCCTGCCAGTGTTGCTCAACTCAAAAGCAGCTCGAACCACGATTAATCCGGACAAGACTCAAGTTTCCTTGACCTCTCAGTCTAACCTTGTTCGGATTTTTGACTCTGATGCTGCCAATCATATTTCTGATAATCCTTCACTATTTACATATTTGACTTTTTCCAATTCCCTTTCATCTGATACTTTTGGTGATGGGTCAATAGGTAAAGCTATAGGATGGACGGAGTATGAAATATAAAATAGAAATTTAATTATATTAAAAAATAAATTATAAAATATAAACCTTAAATAGAAAATATCGTGTATAGTATAAAGTATAAATATCAAATTTTTATACTCCCTCCGTATTTTAAAGTTTGCTACACTTCACTTTTTTGGATGTATTTAAAAATTTGCTACACTTTCCTTTTTTGAATGTATTTAAAAGTTTGCTACACTTTCCCTTTTGGTAAGTTTTTCCTTTAAAAATACTCAATTACTCTTATTTTTTCTACTTTTTATCTTCTCTTTCATACTTTTCCACCTTCTCTCTTACTTTTTCTACACTATTCATTACCCCTACTATTTCACCCTTAAATGTTGTGCCCAAACCTATTGTGAAGAACTTTCAAGTACGGAGGGAGTATATAATACAAAAAACACAAATGTAATTTAAAAATATATAAATATATAATGTATAAATATTTAAAGAAATGGACAACCTAGAATATTCCATGTAGTACTCCTCAGAAAATATAAAAAAAACAAATATAGTACATACAAACAAATTATAGTATATAATGTACAAAACAAAAGATACAAAATAAAAATTCAAATATGAAATATTTGAAAATTTATACATATAGAGTATATTTCTATTATTTTAATATTTTATATTTATATTTTGAAGGAACTGAAATATATAAATATTTAGAATAAATTTCACTTTTGGTCTACGAGTTTTAGGTCAATTCCACATTTAGTCCACATCTTTCACCTTGTCCACTTTTGATACATGACTATTGTGTTTTCGTCCATATATGATCCTTCCAGCATTATTTCCGATGATTAAAATCACCAGAAAAGGACCACAAACAGTTAAAAAACATTAGTCAAGTACCAAAAGTGGACAAAGTGAAAGACGTGGACTAAATGTGGAATTGGCACAAAACTTGTAGGACTAAAAGTGGAATTAATTCTAAATATTTATATGCAGCTGAGTTTATTGAAGTAAAAAATTCATTAGCAACAATTGATGAATACCACACAACAACAATTCCATGATATCAGTGCATGAATTCTAGGATATTGGCCCATTTACGTCGTGAGTCAGGACTTAATAAGGGTAGAAAAAAAGGAAATAAATAGCAACACCAGAAAGGAGATGAGAAAAGATATTTAAATGAATAATATGGAGTTTACCTTGATGATCTCAACAAGTTGATCAACTCCGCTTTCACCAGGAAACAAGGGCTGCATATTAAAGGTAGACAGTAAATGCAAATTCATACCTATAGAAGCAACCATAACATATACGAAAAAACTATTATACCTGGCTAATAAGTAGCTCGGCCAAGACACAGCCAGCAGACCACACATCAATGGCGGTAGTGTACTCTGTTGCTCCAAAAATAAGCTCAGGAGCTCGGTAATACCTAGAGCAGATGTAAGAAATATTGGGTTCTCCTTTAACCTGTCAAAGTTGGGAAACAAATAGCAGTATAAGATGAAACGCAGCGTACAAATAACTCTATTTGCTCTTTCCTTAAGGACTAATAGCATTGTTAAAAAAGGCTGAAAATGTAGTGTACCAGAACTTTTGCACTTCCGAAGTCGCATAATTTAACTTGGTGAGTATGTGGATTCACCTGGTAAAAATGTATGAGCATCCTAACTGCTGGTTATCAATTTCTGAGTTAAACATATAGTTTAATGGAAGAACAACCTCTACTTTCTGATTATCAATTAGTAAGCAGTGAAACATACGCAGTATGATATTAAAGAAAAAACATTCACTCGTAGATAATATTAAAGAGAAAACATATAAGTTTTTTACATTCCATTACTTCAAATAAATAATTATAACAACTTGAACTGCCATTTTTAGCAAAGAGCCTAAACAATTTTTGTTTCTTTAACTTTTGAAAGTAAATTAGAAAATATTCCACTTTCTATCCACGACATTAGGTCATTTTCACTATTGGTCACCAACTTTCAGTTTACCATCTTTGGAGCACAAGTATGGATTCCTCAAGACATATGGTCCTTTTAATATCTTATCCAGCAAAACATCAAAAGGTAATTTTGGCAGGATAACTGATTGGGAAGACCAAAAACGTCAAGAAATATATAGTCTTGATCAAGGGTTAAAAATGGAAGTCACAGACCATAATCTAAAATGACATAATGGCCATGCGAGCAACAGTAGAAGATTTTTTATAAATTACTTTGACTGACAGACAGCACATCACTATGTCGCGGAATAATGAACACTTGAAAAATAAAAATAAAAAGAGGCAGAAATAAAATATAAATAGGCAATGCAAATGTACCAAAAGATTTTGAGGCTTAATATCTCTGTGACACACTCCAATACTGCGATGAATGTACGACAGCGCCCTGAAAATCTGTCATATAAAGCATCATGTTATACTCATGAAGTCATGAGTAATAACTGAGTAAACTTTCGCAGAAAAGGATAACTAATCTCCATCACTCCATCCACACAGGTAAGGTGAGCAAAAAACTTCAAGCTTAATGGCTTAACCCAACACATCGACTAGAATCTTCCATGCAAATTTTACAAGTACCGTTCGGAACTTCGGAGACATTATTTGAGTAGAAGCTGAAGGGAAGTATGTTGGCCTAACAATATGTAATGAAAATTCTGTTCTAACCCTACAAAATACTCCATTCCAAAGAACTATATAAACACTCAAGGGTTTCCCTCTCAAAGATGAGTAACATTTAATCCTCTCTGGATTTTAACCTAGAACACTTGAAACAAAAAAGACAAGATTAAACTCAATGAATAACCGACAAGTGCATCACCTGATATGTATAAAGCTTCACGAATATCAATGGGATTCTTTGATTCAATTTGCTATAGTGCTTTATAACACGGTGAACCGTTTCTGGGACATACTCAAGAACCAGATTAAGATAAAGTTCATCTTTATCAGTTGTGGAAAAGAAGCAATGCTTCAAAGATACAACATTTGGGTGGTCAAGAAGGCGCATCGTCTGTAACTCTCGATTCTTGTATCTTTTATCCTGAAGAACCTTTTTTATAGCAACTGTTTCACCAGTCTCTAAGCATTTTGCCTGGAAATAAAAGGGGCACTTAATATCGTTAAAATTGCTCTTTGAAGGATTCATATAGAGAATGTTTATGAGCATACGCTGATGCCTTAAACATACCTGGAACACTACCCCAAAGGATCCATGTCCAACAATACGTTCAGCCATATAGCTTATAGTCTGCAATATAGACAAATTGAAAAGCTATAAACTCTGGAGGCAAACAGAAAAGACTAATGTCTTAAAATTAAGACTTGTATGGCTGTACCCTTTTGAAATCCAACTGTGAAATCATACAACCAGTGGGTGTGTGTATCAGCAGAAGTATGAGATTCAAATATAGTACACTCAACAAGAAGGTTGCCACAGCAGCTAAGCAAGGTGCAGCACCGGCTAACCATTGCCTAAAGTCCCTAAACGGCTAAGCGACCGCCTAGGCAACAATTATGTGACAAGTAGCCATATGCACTATTGAATACTCCCTCCGTCCCAAAAATAAACTCATGTTTTGGCTTTGCACAGAGATTAAGAAAGTGGGAAATGTGTGGCCTAAAGTTGTGCAGAGTAGAGAGAAAGGGGAGAGAAATGTTGTGAACCACAAATTCTTTGCCAAAAAAAGGAAAGAGGAGTTTATATTGAGATGAACGATAAAAAGGAAAGAATGAAGTTTATTTTGGGACAAAGAGAGTATAACATATTATAAATATAATAGTGCATGAATTACTAATTCATCATTTTAACTCAAAAGTCAAAACAAGAGTCTAGTATCAATAAATTATACGAAAAAAACTTTGGCAAAAAACAATGATGTGATATATGTGATCGACATCTAAAGAAACAAATAAAAATAGAGAATTGGCGAAAACTCATTCATAGAGAAAAGTTAACAAAGATCAACAAAGAAACCAAAATGAAGAAAAGGGAAGAAAGAAGAAAAGAAAGAAAATGAAAACTTCACAGATTGGGTTTCTAGGTCAAAATAGATTTGACAAAAACTCATTAATAGGTATTCCTATGAAGGCACGAGGCTATGAATTCCTAGTCGATGCATACATGCCATTCAATGTTTGACGATCTTCAGGGGAGATGACTGGCTATGGCGAGTGTTCCCCACCGCCTGGATGCCTAAGCATCGCCTAGTCAATGCCAATATGATGATCAAGAAAATAAGTCCAAGCATGTGTTCAAGGCTCTGCGTCATGCAAGATCCAGAGAGAGATGACATACACAGCCTTACCTCTAATTTTAAAGAGGTAGTCCCCTAAAGTGAACCCAAGACCTAATAATCAATAGTTGAGTCCTTGGTCACTACACCAAGCCCAACCTTCCCATTAAAAATACAATTAGAATGCACAATTACCTGTTTTGGCTGACCATTTCGACCACCAATAGTTGTCACTATTATATGACCTGTCTCAGTACCATTACCATCAACAACAGTTGCTTCGATGTCCTATAAAATGAAAATATTCACTCAAGCATCAAGAAACCATGCATAATAAAGAAAATAAAAGAAGAAGATGAATGAAACCTTATCATCCCTGATTTTCATGTCATTCATCTCCTCAGGCAACCTATCAACACCAACAGCATGCCCACTGGGTCCTCTTGCAGCAGAAGCAGGTGCTATACCTACTGAAGCCATTTCGTAGAGGTTTTTTCTAGCTATATCTGTATATATAACCTCAGCAAGTCATTCACCTGCAGGTATTGAGACCGGAATAACTTAATATATAAAAGAACCACATCTCCAAGCATGCGCACTTCAGGCCCTTGAAAACATGGATAAATAGAAGGGAAAACTATCATATAAGCCCCCGTACTGTAGCGAAAATGTCGGTTAGGCCCTCGTACTTAAAAAACACCCAATCGAACCCCTGAACTCTTAAAAACGCTCAATTAAGCGGTTTACCCGGTAGAAGTCCGTTTTCTCGGTTAACAGCATGTGTGGTGCCCGCGTGGCATTTTTTCTTTTCCTTTTTTCTTGTTCCCTTTCTTTTTCATTTTCCTTTTCTTTCTTTCTTTTCTATCTGTTTCCTTCATCCTCCCCATTCGCACAGATGCGGTTCATACCAGTGGTCCACGGAGAGGAAATTTAGCAACCAAAGAAACCGAGCTCCTGAGGGATGGGACCAGAGAGGGAATTGGAAGAGAGGTCCAAGGCCTGGATTTTGGTGCAATTGGAGAGAGGTAAGAGAAGATGGAGCCTTGGAGAAACGGGAGAGGGTGAGCTTATAGATCCGGCCATTGTTACAGATGGTGTCATGGGGGATGGAGGTTAGAGGTGAGGTCGTTCCAGAGTTGAGAGAAGCGGATTTGGTCCATTTTGGAGCATGTGGAGTGGGTCTCCAAGGTGTTGCTGAAACGGGTCAAACATAGTTCCTCATCACTCGGATTTGGAGCGACCGGCAGAGGAAGTACGGGCGGCGGAGGGAGTACCAATTTCTTTATCTTGATGTTTGGTGGCCGGCGGCACATGTGCGGTGGGCAGCAAGAGAAAAAAGAAAGAGAAGAAAGAAAGAGAAAAATAAAACAGAAAATGAAAAAGAAAAAAATGTCACGTGGGTGCCACGCGGACTGTTAACCGGACAACAAGACTTCTACCGGGAAAAACGCTCAATTGGGCATTTTTTAAGAGTTCGGGTGTTCAATTGGGTGGTTTTCAAGTACGAGGGCCTATTCAACATTTTCGTTATAGTACGAGGGCGTATCTGATAGTTTTCCCTAAATAGAATGGGATCCACGAATGTAATACTCATTCCAATTAAGCATGAGAGAACTAACTTCAGTCACATCCATTCAAGCAACCAATATCATTTACTTGAAACTTTGAGGGATGTGCTCCTGGCAGAATAATATAATTATGCATTCCAAATTAATTTTATAGTTATGTTATCTGATAGGCAAGTAGTCGATAAATATTGAGAGATTACTTGCTACTCGGGCTAACATCTTGTCGAGTAGGTTACCTACTCAGTTTGTTCCAATATTCTGGGTTACACAGAGTACTGAGCGGTTTCTGCAACTCAGCGAGTTGAATTTATGTGTGGAGTAATACAGTCGGCTAAATTGATTTTTTTTTAAATCTGAAATTTTGAAACTAAAGTGGGATACTGTGGGATTTAAAAACAATTAGGGGTTTTAATATGATAAATGGAATGATAACATTAAAAATCTAGGCTTTTGGAAGTACTAGGATTATTTCACAGAGAGAACATGCGACAGTTTCACCAGCGACTCTCTATCGGTTAGTTCCTCTTCTTCTTTGTTCTCTTCTTCTTTTTATTCTTCTTATAGTTCTCCTTCTTCATCGACCTCTTCAATCTTAATTATGATGGATTACTATTTTTTCTATACAAAACACTTAAAAGACTATACACACACCCACATACATACATGTCACATGTGTTTGTATCATACAGTTCCCATTGAGTAGCAATTTAAATACTAAGCTTTAAAGTAAGAATGTCAAGCTTTTTATGAAAGGCAAATTGTGCAGTTGAAACATATTCATAGATGCGTGAAAACTTTCAACCACAAAAAATCCATTTAAGGAGAGTGGAGTTTATTATGAAATAACCAAAAAAGAGAAATAAGGAAGTTTATATTAGAACGAAGGAAGTAAAATTGTTTAACACTAGTGCATGCTTGAACAGGACACAACCATAGTTATACTATGACGTCTATCAAGGAAAATGCAACATTTTGTAAAACTATTAAAGAATAGTAAGCTTAGGTTTGTTCTGTTGACCTAATTTTTCTTACTTATTACTAACTACCTCCGTCCCGCTATGATTGTCCCATTTTACCTTATCGGTCCGTTCCACTAAGATTGTCCCATAACAAATTTGGTAAAGTTTGTGTGGCTCTAAATCATTCTTACTTTATTCTTACTTTATCAATTAAATATCAACCACATAAACCACTTTTTATTAATTTGTGTGCCACTCCCTCTTGTCCCATTGTTAGCGGGACGGAGGGAGTATTACTTATTCTAATCAAATTAGACCCGACCAAATCAGAACAACCGAAACACTCAGATGAGACCAAAAGTTATCAATACAACTACATAACATAGAAAAATTCAAAAGAAAATTATTCAGACTAGATCTTAAAGTTTATAGCATCACATCTTCTAGATGCATAGGACATGTTGATAGGAACCACAAGATGATAGGAACCAGACACACAATAGGAAATATATGTATATTAAGCAAGGAATTAAGACAAGATCTCAGAATTATTAGGTAATTACAATGGCAGAATCAATAAGCTAGCGTACAAAGAAGAAGATAGATACAATTTCAAGAGTGTCTCTCTCCTGGGCCCCAATCCACTAACAGAATACTTGCCTGCCTAACTTTCCTCCCGCCCTCACTTATATATTACCACTCACCTGCGGGACCACTTTCTTAGTTATCTGCTTTTTACCTTTTCTCTTTTACACTTTGTCATAGTATTTAATAGTATTATTATTATTCCAGTGATGCAGGCCAACTTCCTATTCATCACATCCCTCTTTGAATAGCACCTTGTCCTCAAGGTGGAATTCAGGAAGATGTTCCTCGAATTAGTGAAGAGATTCCCATGAGTCTTCAAACTCTGGCAATTGTTTCCAATGAACCAGTATTTCCCTTCCCCTTGTTAGGCTGACTCTAGTGTCCAAAAGACTTTCTGGTGTGACTTGTAGTTCCCATTCTTCAGAGATGCACTTGGGAAGGAGCTGGGGGCATGGTGTGTTAGGAGATAGGGTGTTCTTTGGTAATGATATATGAAAGACAGGGTGCACTGGATATTCTTCTGGTATGTTGAACCTGTATGTTACTGCCTACTGGATTCACCCTCTCACTGATTTCAAAGGGTCCATAGAATCTGGGGCTCAACTTTTAATTGACTCACTTTACCAAACTCTTCAGTTTATGGGGCTGAATCTTGACATAGACCCTATCCCAAACTTTCAATTGTAAATCCCTCCTATGCTAATTTGCTTGCTACCTCATTTGGTTTTGTGCAATAGCTAATATGCTCCTCAATTCTTCTAGCATTGCATTTCTTCATGCTGTAATTCTAGTCATTTCATCTACTGATGTTAAGGTAGCATCTCCATTAATTATGGCTGGTGGTCTTGCCCATAAAGAGCTTTGTAGGGAGTATTCTTTATGGACGCATGATAATTGGTATTATACCAATACTCAGCCCAAGGGAGCCACCTGAGCCACTGTTTAGGTTTGCTCCTAGTAGTACATCTCAGGTAGGTCTCTACACATTTGTTGACCACTTATGTTTGACCATCTGTTTGAGGATGGTAACCAATGCTATACTTCAGTTTAGTGCCCACTAGTTTAAACAGCTCTGACCAAAAGGAGCTCAGGAACATACTATCCTTGTAAGATACTATGGATTTAGGGAATCCGTGCAGCCTGACCACTTCCTGTATGAAAACTCCAGCCACTCCTTACGCAGTGTAGGGGACTAGAGGTTAGACAGGGCTATGAAGTGTTCAAATTTGGTGAATATGTCCACCACTGCCAGAATAGTGTCCTTTACAAAGGCTCTAAGCTGTTCTACAATAAAGTCCATGCTAATATCAGCCCAAATTTGATTTGGAATGGGTAAGGGATGTAGTAGACCTGCAGGACTCAGGGTTTGGTGTTGATTCTTTGGCAAGTGTCACATTCCTGTACAAAGGTCTTGATATCTGCCCGCATTCCTACCAATAGAACAAGGTAGAAATCTGTTTCATGGTTCTGAAATGCCCAGCATGCCCCCAACACTCATGGAACTCCTTCAGAATGGAGGATATTCCAGCAGAATTCTTAGGTATAACCAATCTCTCTTTGCAATATAACAACCCTTTTCTGAATTTGAAATCTGGTAATGAGTCAGGTTATCCCCACAGTTTTTGCATGATTCCTTGATATTTTTCATCCTCTGGAAGTTCTTCTAAGGCCTCCATTTCTGAACTGCCAGAACAGTGGCCATAAGTTCCCTTTCATATACAGACTTATTCTAGTTTCTAGTGGATAAGGTTTTACTCAAATATGATATAGACTTCCCTTCCTGCATCAGTACAGCTCCAACTCCCTTTCCAGAAGTATCAGCCTCCACTAAAATCATTTTGTTGAAATCCGGTGTCTTCAGTACAGGTAGGGTAGTCATAGCCTGCTTGAGCTCTTCAAGGGCATCTCTGGCAGGTTGATCCCAATGAAATCCATCCTTCTTCAAGAAGTTGTTGAGAGGTGCTGCAATCTTACTATAGCCCTTGACAAACCTACTGTAGTATCCAGTTAACCCCAAGAATCCTCTTAACCCCTTCACATCCTTAGGCAGATCCCAATTTAACATATCATCCACCTTGCTTGGATTCGCTGCTACTCCCTCACGAGAAATCAGATGCCCCAAGTAAGCTAATTGTTTTTGCCCAAAAGAGCATTTCTTCTTGTTGGCTACTAGCTAGTCTTCTATGAGTAGCTGAGTCATGAGAGCCTGAAAGGTTGAAGGAGCATTGGTGAGCCCAAAAGGCATAACCAGATACTCATAATGCCCTTCATGAGACCTGAAAGTGGTCGTATGAATGTCTGATACTCTGATTCTTTCATCCATATTTGATGGTATCCTGAATTCAAATCCAGTTTGGAGAATATTTGTGCAGTCCCTTATTCATCCAACCGCTCTTCAATTATCTGGGACAATGATTTTGTTGAGAGCTCTGTCATCCCCACAAAACCTCCACCCACCTTCTTTCTTTTTCACCAGTAAGATTGGACTACTGTATGGGCTAGTGTTAGGCTGAATGATTCCTATATTCAACAGATCTTGTACCAATCTTTCAATCTCATTCTTTTGATATTGAGGGTACCTGTAAGGTCTGATATTTGGGATGGTAGTGATAATAATAGCATGACCACACCCCCTTTGGGGAGGTAGGCCTTTAGGAGCTTGGAATACTTCAAGGAATTCTGCCATAATTTCCCCCAGCCACTCTCCTTTTTTATCTTCTTCATTATTTGGTTCTGGCACCCCTGCACAGCATAAGTAGTATCCTTCACCTTGATTCTGTAAAGCCTTGACTAAACTCTTCCAAGATGTCTGAGCCCTATTGGGAGCAGGATCCCCTTGTAATCTTTTCTCCCTTCACTTTTCCAGCCATTTGATGGAGAGTTGTCTGAAGTTGGCCTCCACAATTCCTAGGCTAGCCAACTATTACATGCTCAGTACCATATTTGTTCCTCCCAAGTCCAGGATGTAGAAGTCTTGAGTTAGCAACATGTCCTGTACCCGCTGTACCCAAACTTGCAAGCCTTCACACTTCTCATTGTTACTGATTCCGTATCCATTGCCTATTTCCAAACTACATCCTGGAAACTGGTTGAAAGTTAGACCCATTTCCCTAACTAAAGTTTGGGATATGAAGTTGTTTGTGGCCCACTGTCAATGAGAATCAACACTGGTGCCCCTTTATGTTCTTCAGTGCCCCATTTACCTTGAATGTTCTTTGAGTAGTGATGCCCTACATACTCAGGATGGAAATCTGCATAGCTTGTGAATCCAACACCACCTCTGTAGATTCTGGTCATCTGACTGACCTTCATGTTCCAATCCTTCTCCTTCTGCGGTTTTCAATAGAAAAAACTGGTAGTGCTTTATTTTGCAGACATGTTCCCTATTCCACTTTTGAACACACTATGCAGACATGTTCACTAATCCACTTTTCACCACCCTTGAAGCATAACCCCTTCCTGCTTCTCTTTTTAGTTCTGATTGGGATAATCTCTGTCCACTCCCCCCCCCCCCCAGATTCTGCCCTGTTACTTCTCCTATCTTATGTTCTTTGGATGCTTTCTCACTTTGTGGACTGTGACTGGAGTTGACTCTCCATTTGGTTCCTTCTGCCCATCATTAAACAAATTTCCCCCTTTCTCCTTCCATCCTCTTTTGTCTTCCTCCCTCTGCTTTTAGAGCTATGTTCTTCTCTTCTAATAGCAGAGCTCTATCCACTAGTTCTGCCAATGATCCTGAGGGATAGAGTTTTAACTCTGCTCTCACTTCTTCCTTCAATCCATTGAGAAATATCCCTTACAGCATCCCTATGTTAGTGTTTCTCAAAGGAGCCATTAACAATTCAAATTTCACCCTGTAGTCCACGACACTCCCAGTCTGTCTCACACTCAGCATTGGTCTGAAAGGATTCTGTACCAATTCTGGTTGAAACTGACAAATCAAGGCCTCTCTGAACATCTCCTAGCTCGGTTCCGGCGCTTAGCTCGGTTCCGGTCCCACCATTGGAACCAGTTCAATGTCTTTTCTTCCATGGCAATCATAAAGATTTTCACCTTATCCTCCTCGGTTACGTTATTGAGCCTAAAAACCTTTCTACCCTAATGATCCACCCATAAGCATCATCTCCGTTAAAAACAGGGAGATCAATCTTCCTTCCCGTGCAAATGTAACACATATTATCATTCATTTGTTGTTGCACAGAAGTAGAACATGAACCAAAAGAGTTACCTTGTGACACCGATGAACTCTGGCTACTTGTCTGTCGTCATTGCCTTGGTGGTTTTGATCTACCCCTGGATCTCCTTCATTCATGCCGCAACATCAGACTTCGTAGCTCATCCACCATCGCCCGCATGTCATTAACATTCTGTTTCACATTTTCAAAGAGATTTTCCATTCCCACTCGGGTTAAAGTCATGAACTGTCCGTCAGGACCGTTGCTCTGATACCATATGATAGGAACCACCAGATGATAGGAACCACGCCACAATAGGAAATATATGTATATTAAGCAAGGAATTCAGAGAAGATCTCAGAATTCTTAGGTAATTCCAATGGCAGAATCAATATGGTAACATACGAAGAAGATAGAGACAATTTCGACAGTGTCTCTCTCTCCTAGGCCCCAATCCACTAACAGAAAACTTGCCTGCCTAACTTTTCTCCCGCCCTCACTCATATATTCCCTCTCACCCGCGGGACCACCTTCTTAGTTAGTTATCTGCTTTTTACCTTTTCTCTTGTACACTTTTTCATAGTATTTAATAGTACTATAATTATTATTCCAGTGCTGCACGCCAACTTCTCTATCACATGTCCTCAATTTTGATAAATACTTCCTCGATTCAGTACTACATTCAACGAGATAGTAATTCAGGATCTCCCATATTCATATGAGAGGTGACAATGACACTTTATTAGAAGTACATTTTCACACTAACCTATCAAAGACAAGCTCATGGTGGTCTCTCACGGCTCACCGATACGTTAAAGCCTCATGGACAACTGAGGATAAAAACTCAAAAAGGTACATGCATCAATCAAGAGTACATAATCTATGGCTGAGAGCTATGCAAGCTGTAAGTAAAGGGAGTGATGAAGTGTGTAATCAGACAATGCTGTGCTCAGATATAAAAAAATGTACAAGAAAAAAGAAGAGCCATGCCTTTTCCCATAAATTCACCCAATACTGATACCCATTCCGAAAAATATAGCAGCTCTTTCATCCATTCAATTCAGCGACTTTAAAACGAACATATGAATAAATGAACTAAGGATAGGTAGCATGAAAGTTTCCATTTTCCAATCTCCAATATAGGGTGAAGTTCGAAAGGGGTAAAAGAACAGTAGCTTCATCCCATCATCTTATATTCTTTCTTTTATGTTATCTCGTTATCTGTTGTGTAAGAATGTCTAAAAATATTATAAGGCATACTAAATAACGTGTATTAAATAGAAATTGTTAGAAAGAATATCAACAGAAAATAATTATAATGATTGAAAAATTCATTTAAAGCTGCATCACCCGAAAATTAGGGCTGGGCAAAATGGTTTGGTTTGACCGAACCGAACCGAACCTTGGTGGTTTGGTTTGGTTTGGTTTTACTTAAGTAAACCGTTTGGTAACAATTTTCTCAAACCAAAGGGTTTGGTTTGGTTTAAAACCGAAAAACCGTAAACCGAACCGAACAACTCATAATATACACACACATATACTTCGTATATACTTTGTATTTTTCTTCACTCTTCATCTTTAGGATATAAATAAATAATTTAGACATGAAAAATACAAATTTAGGATATATCATTTTAACTTTTACACATTTCATACATTCATTATGACAAAATTAGCTAATACGACATATTTGTATTTGTTATTTTTGTACTTTACCTGTATGTAAAGATATTTCGCGATAACAATAAAAAACTGCATTTATATTTTTTACACGATTCATTTGAATAATATTGTGAATATTACAACATTTGTACCACCGACTCATTTAGTTTTTTTGAATATTTTATGTGATATTATAAAGCTAATCAACTATAAATTTATTTTTTTGTGAGAAGTGAATCTTTTTTCTGGTGATCGCAAAAGATGTTAGAAGTTTTAATTTATAATATTTTATTATTATTTTTCTATCCTTTATTTCATTTTACATTTTATTTAAATAATAAATAAAAGAAGATGAGATGGACTACTACTTTCATGTTCTAATCCTAAAATATAGAACTTTATCAAATAAAATAATAAACATAAGAATCTGAATCAAATCAAACTAAGTTGTACCTTATAATTTTTTCACTTTGGTAAACCGAACTTCAAACCGAAACCAAACCCAAACCAAACCAAACCGAAATTTAAATGGTTTTAGTTTGTTACAAATTCTCCTAAACCGAAACCGAAGAAAACCAAACAGTAAACCGAATTGACCACCCCTAGAAAAAACGGTCCTAGGCTCCCAACATAGAGCTCAGATATCGATTCTTGATACATTTATAAGAAATATTACTTAATACAAATTAGCAAGAAGCTATGGGAAGATCTAAAGATACATAAACAAAGACAATTTATAAATTTGGAAATCAGAAGTTATGCATGAAGAGATGATTATTAAAGATGAAGGAAGAAATTGAAGAAATATTGAAGAAATAATACTCACCGCCGTTACCAATTAAACCAGAATCTTCTAACAGATCAAGAAGAAACCGATCATCGGCAGCCGGCCGTGATTGTTCTTCGTGGAAATGACACCATGGGGTTAGAGAGAGAAGAGGTGATGTGATAGTGAGAGGGGCGAAAGAGAGAAGGGAGCTATGGATGGCTCAAAAGTAATGCGTCTTTTCTTTTCTTTTTCCTTTCCTTTTTCCCCAGTGAAAGGGCCGTAGGGTACCGGGTACGAGTTGAGCTAAAATAGGCTGGGTGAGTTCGGTTATTTCAGTTTAGCTTTCATTCAAAATTAAATACCGAATTAATATAAAAATTTGATTTTATTACACTATCTTAGTTTCAAAACATGAAATTATAGTTTAATTCTTGTTTATTTGGTTTAACATAAAAAATAATAATGCGTACTAAAAATATAATAAAAAAAGACAGAACAAATATATCTTGAACTATATATATATATATATATAGTTCAAGATATATTTTCCCCAGTGAGAGGGGCGAAAGATATAATAGTTCAAGTTATATATATATATATATATATATATATATATATATATATCATATATGAGTAGTGTTCCGGTCAGGAATTCCTGACTGGAACCGCCGTCCGGAAGGCGGCGTTTGGACGTCTTTCCGGTGGAATTTTTTGATGAAATTTTTATGCCATGTTCTTCATCAAGTCTAGTTTATCCACAAAACAATTAAGTTAAAAATTCAATCGGGGAGGCCGACAAATAGTTTTTGGAAGTTAATTGCACCGGAAAATACATATAAAATGCAGTTAACTTCCAAAAATTATTTAACGACCTTCAAGATTGAATTTTTAGCTGAATTTTTGTGTGGATAAACTAGACTTGATGAAAAACACGTCATAAAAAATTCATCGAAAAAGTCGACCGGGAAGGCGGCCAAACGCCGCTGTCTGGACGGAGGTTCCTGTCCGGAATTCCGGACATGAACTTTCCTCTCTCTCTCTCTCTCTCTCTCTCTCTCTCTCTCTATATATATATATATATATATATATATATATATATATATATATTAGAGTACATATTTTCTAGTTTTTTGGAATTAAGTATTTTTTTCGTGTGCAAGCACCTTCAAAATTTATTGTGTTAATACACCGAGTTATGCTAGAGGTACAAACACTTTTACAAAAAGTCTTACAAAAGGGGTATGTGGCATCATCATATTATTTAACACATCACATCACATTTACAACACTTTTACATTAATGGTAATTAGAATAGTCACATCATTTGTTTGTAAGTTTTTTTGTAAGTGTGTTTGTACTTCTAACATTGTTCTAATACACCCATGTGCCTTTGCCTTTTAATACCTCGACTTATCCCTATTTAAAGGGAGTATGAGTGCAATGAATAGAACACACTTCTCATTATCCTTCTACACGTTATAGCTCCATATTAGTCTCTCTCTTTTCTCCCGCAGAAGCCAGCTAATATTAGCTCATCTCCTGTTTTTCTTTTTGGCTTGGTCTCCTCGGTGTCTCATCTGGATCTCAAAGTAACCGGTCCTTATTCCTCAGCCTACTGTTCGAAATTTACCCGCAGATCCACAACCGACACCATCTGCTCGAAGCTCCAGTTACAAAATCAGCAGCACCACCTCAGCCGTAGACGCTTCCCTCCACCGGCTCTTCCAACGGCAGTCCATGCTTCCACTGCTAGCAACACAACCGACACCTCTGTTTTTTGAAAAGGCATTGGTATTTGCTACATTGTTGAGATTGATTATTTCATAATATGTTAGGATTGTTTTATTTTAGGGATGATTTTTCTGAGAAACCAGCCCACTTTGTAAATCTATACATTACAAGACTTCTCAGTTACTAAAAATACTTACTTTTCCTTTATAGAAATTTTGTTCAATATTAAGAATTTATACACTATCTATGCATTATATTGATGAGTGAGATGCACTAAAATATTTAAATCGAATTCCCAATTTATTTTCCTCAATCAGATCTTATTTATTTTAAGTTGGCAGATATTTGATTAAAAACGGGATAATGAAAAAAAATGTTACTATCTAGAATTATATATATATATATATATATAGTTTCCACTTAAAATTTAATAACTGTATGACAAACTAATAATATCATATTTAACTAACTGGATTCCATGAACCTACTTCTAATAATTTCACATTATTTGTGGATATAATTGAACTGTCATGTCTCATGAAACATTGTGAACATCCTCATGCATGTTCGAAAATAAATGCACAACCTGGACTAATGACCTACTCCGTATTTTTTTAGACTTTTCCTAAAAAGTGTGACCCACAATACACATCTATAGTTAAACTAATCATCATGTGTATTATTATTTTTACTGCGTACGAATTATTTTATTTGTCCAGCATATATGGTGAGTTGTATAAGTGGTGATTGTACCTTATATAATTAATGCTAACACAAACATTTAATGCACATGTCTAGAGCTAGTACAAATGGACACATCATGACATCTCATTTAATACTAATGTATAACAAGTACGAATTATTGTACTTTGGATTATTATTTTCAGGAAAGGACAAACTTTTATCTCATGTGGGGTTTGTACACCACTACCAATCAATTCTTCATAGTACTATTTATTATTATTATTAGTTCTACTATATTTTGTTATAGCCAACATCTTAAGTGTATTTTTTTATTCGAATTTCATGAAAACGTGTGTATAACTGGACATTATTTATTTATAGCAACTTAGTGCTTAGAATGATGTACGTGTGTGGTGACCTATTCTTTTCTATTTTGCATATCTTGTCCATTCTCGTACATTATATTCCCTCACAATTCATAATTTCTCTCAATTCTATACAAAATGTTTTCACTAAATAAAATAAAATAAAATAACATAAAATGATTACACAAACGTTTTTACAATATAATCCATACTTTTAAGTTTATGTTAAGGCATATTAAACATCCTATCAATTCTTAAGTCAACATATACAATTTTAGTAATACATGATAACATTAACCCCGTCAATGCGTCATTTTATCATTATCCATCATTCGTTGTTTATTTATTTATTTTTGAAATATAATTTCGTTAATGCTATTGACAATTACCAAGTTATTTTTTTTAAACATGCTAGTATCCTAAATATACTTTTAATAATGTTAAATTAATTTTCTTTTCTTTTTTGATAAGATGACTGATCCAACTCGACCCGAGTTTGACATTCTGGGCTCAGAAGGACTTGAGTACCATCGTTGGGTTTCTGACGTAGAAACCATTTTTGTGGCTAAAGACTATTCCGCCACGCTTGCCGATCCCGAAAGTTTCAAAGACAATGCACCGTCTGAAAAAAAATAAAGGTTGTTGCGCTAATGTTCCTTAGACGCCATATTGACCCAAGCTTACGTTGGGAATATTTACGATTGAAAACCCCCAAAGAACTATGGGATGCACCAAAAGGTCGTTTTGGGAACATTCATGACACATTGCTCCCCGAACTGACAGTGCAGTTGAATGAAATCCGCTTAGTTGACTACAAAAAGATCAACAATTTTAATGAGGACACGTTACGCCTCAAAGCGCGCCTTAATTTCTGTGGTAAACCAATCACGGAAGATGAAATGATTGACAAGACCCTCTCCACTTTCCCCACCTCAGCACTTATACTAGCGAACCATTATAGGTTGGAGCATAATAGAAAAAGAATAACCACATTTAATCAATTAATTAATTTGCTCCAAGTTGCTGAAAGACAAAATCAAGTTCTACTGAATAACAATGCCAGACCAGTTGAGACAAAGAAAATTCCCGAGGTCAACTATGGCAAAGCAAACACTCGAAAGTACTCTGGTGGAAAAGGAGAAGGTCGTACTCGTGGAAGGGAGCGCAACAACCGCCGCGGGCGTGGAGGCCGAGGTACAGGCCGTGGAGGATCTTCCAAAGTGTGGAAGAGAGATACAAGCGTCGGGACCAGTGGTCAAACCAACAAAGCTCATAGTGCACCATCAAAACCTCCAGTCAAACGAGACCGAGTTGGTGAAGAACCCTGCTACAGATGCGGAATTCCTGGACATTGGTACAAAAACTGCCAAGCTAGCAATAGAGTCGCAGTCGCGTACAAGAAGTACAAAGAGTCTAAGGAACATGAATCTCACTGTGTCATTGACGAAGAAAACGAGGTTGATGTTAACCTCACTATTGCCGACTTTGGTGTCAAGAAAAACACCACTCAGTCAATTGATGCACCGGACTTTGACTAAGTCACTTTAATTTCATTGCTGTTTTTTATGGACATTTAAGCACTTCCGAACTCATATTTTCACATTTCTTTTCTGTTGGACATTGAATGCTTGCCGTTTTATTTAAATAATTGGATTGGTTTTGAAATCCAAATGACATTTAAAAATAACATTTCCTGTTCAAATTTATATTATACTTCTTCATTATACAGGAATGACTCGAGGAGAACTTGAGTGTTTAGTAGATAGTGGGACAACTCACACTATCTTAAGAAATAGACAACTCTTTACTGAACTCCTAGCCTACAATTCATCTGTGACAACTATGATTGGTTCATCACATGTAATACAGGGTCGAGGTACTTCCAGTTTTATGTTACCAAATGGTACAAGCTTGTATATCACCGAAGCTCTATATGCACCTAGAGCAACACGAACCTTGTTAAGTTTCAAAGATATTCGTGATAATGGTTTTCATGCGGAAACCCATTGTGAGAATGGAGTAGAGTACTTATACATTACCTCAAACGAATGCGGAAGAAAACGCATACTAGAAAAATTAATGAGTCAATCTAGTGGACTTTATGTCACTAGTATTCGGTTCTTTGAATCCTATAGTGTCTCTAATAAAGAAATATGGGACATAGACTCATACAGGCTTTGGCAAGATCGCCTTGGACATCCGGGTCGTGACATGATGATTCGTATATTAAAGAATTCACATGGACATCCTTTCTTTCAACCAAACAATGTGAAGGGGTCAAAATCTAACACACTGAAACGTGTTGAACCAACGGTCACTCAAAAGAAAAAAGGGTCTTCTAAAGTACCGGAAGAATTGTCTCCTGCCTCATTCACAATGTCCAAATTACACAAGTCATTCTGCAAAGCCTGCTCCTTAGCAAAAATAGGATCGAGACCATCCTATGCTAAAGACACAAAACAAAACATCCCATTCTTACAAAGAATTCAAGGAGACATATGTGGTCCGATCCATCCAGAATGTGGACCATTTAG